ATGTGAAAGTTAAATACTGAAAAAGGAAGACCACTGAAGAACTGATGCATTTGAGTTATAGTATTGGAGGAGAATATGAAAAGTAATATGTACCGCCACAAGAACAAATAAATCTGTGTTAGAAGAATTATAGCCAGAATGCTTCTTAGAAGCCAGGCTTTGGAGACTTTGTCTCCTATACTTCTGATATATTCTTAGGAGGGACCAGTCCCTGGAAAAGGACATAATGCTTGGTAAAGTGGTGGACCAGCAAAAAAGAGGAAGACTCCCAACAAGATGGAATGGCACAGTGGCAGTGACAATGGCCTTAAATGTTTAGTTTGGTTGTACATATTGCTGCTATGAGTCAGGAGTGACTCAACGGCACCTAACTACAATTTCTGAGATTCCTCCTTAAGTCAGGTTTCTATAGCATTCTTTGAGATGTGGAGTTTATTCCATAGTGTGATTGCAGATGACCCATTCAACACAAGGATGTGCTTTCAGAAGAGCCTAGAACTAAAGCCAGAGGACTATGGATTCAAATATTAAGGCTACCACCGACCACATGACTGGAGGCAATTCACTACTCTTTCCTAGGCTTTACATTCCTAATCTGTTAAATATAGGATAGTGATGAACTCTAAGGCACCGAGGTGTCTCTGTAGGATAAGCAGTGGACTGCAAACCACAGGGTTCTTCTGGGGGAGAAAGAGAAGACTTTCTGCTTCCACAAAGATTTACAGCCTCGGAAACACTATACAGGATCACTAGGAGTCCAAATGGACTAAATGGCATTTAACAATAACAACCACAATAAAATCTAAGTAAAATAACGCAGACAGGTTGTTTAGAATAGAACTGGGAAGACAGATTCTATAAATTTTAATTGTTATCATTATTGTCATATATAAAGTTATACTTTTGGAATTTCAAAGGTTTTGCTTGTGAGAAATCTCCAAATCCTGCCCTATGTGGACTAGGCTGTCAGCCATCAGTCATAATCCTAGTATGACCCTTTCTTTGATAAAAATCACAGAAATTAATAACTAATGCAAACTGGCTGGGTATCCAGTTAATTGCCTTTACCGTCTGTGACCATTTTGGAGAAGGTAGGGAAAATGAAAAAGCTTCAGGTAACTGGCTCGCTACCTCAATGCATTTAGGAAGTGCTTACGGACTGGGGTATAGGTGAGGCATGGAGTAGTTGTAATAATACCAATGCTGATGTTTAATATTTTAATATTCTTTATTGCATATGCATTGCCAGAAGGAGGAGCTGGAAAACTTTATTTCAAGAGTCTGGGAATACACAAAATAAGGTGAGTTCAAGCAGATTGTAAATGTCTTGTGAAGTTAATCCATTTTACTGTTAACGATCTTACTCTTTTCTCTCCGTTAAATAACCTGGCCATGCAGTTGCCTATAATTCAGATGTCAGTTATTTGAGGAAATCATTATTTTCTAAACAATTTTGCTTTTATTTATACCCTTTGCTTCATTTTTCTTGTTGTTAAGTGTTGTTGAGTTGGTTCCAACTCAGAGTGACCCTTTATAGGGTTTCTGAGCCTATACATCTTTTTGAGAGCAGAAATCATCCTTCTCCCATTGGGAGCCATTGCATTCCCCAAGTTTGCTTCATGACCATCTAGGTAAGTAAAGGAACCATTCCGCTGAAACAATGGTGGTCACACTGGTGGGAGCTCTGCAGGTGGTGTGGCCAGGAGGACCCATGGCTTCACCTCCCAGCTCTGCTGCTTTAGTAGGGTGAACCTTGGCAAGTTTCTGAGCCCCTCAGTTTCCTCCTCTGTAACAGGGACATACTACTAGTAGTTATGTCATAAGGCGCTCTGATAACGTAGTGGTTACGAGTCAGGCTGCTAACCTCAAGGTAAGCAGTTCGAAACTACCAGTGGTTCCGTGGGAGAAAGATGAGGCTTTCTGCTCCCGTAAAGATTTACAGCCTTGGAAACCCTATACAGGGTCACTATGAATCAAAACCGAATTCATAGCCCGTAACAACCACCACCACCAAGGTTATCGTGGAGATTATATTAAATTAAATTACATGAATCACCCAGAAACATATCAAGTACATAAAGGAGTACAATGTGTACTCTTTGTCATTACATGGGAACTAATGGCTTAATTAATGGGATGTCAAGGGAGGTATAAAACTAGAAAACTGTTTTATGGCAGTAGGAGCCTGAGAAAGTATAAAACTTTCCTTCTCACCCTAATTTGTTCCTGATCCTCCCCTTTTTTAGGCACTGTAGGATAGCACTCGACTCCAAAGTCTGTTTGAAATGCAAGGTTGGCAGTTCAAACTCACCAGCCACTCCTTGGAAACCCTACACAGGGTCGCTATGAGTTGGAACCAACTCGACAGCACTTAACAAAAACAACCATCCATCAAATTGGAGCACAGTGGCTCTGTAGGATAAGCACTGGACTGGGAATCACAGGGTCACCGGTTCTAGCCCACCAATTGCTCCATGGGGGGAAGATGAGGTTTTCTGCTCCTGCAAAGATTGACAGCCTCAGAAACTCTACACGGGATGGCTGAGTCAGAACTGACTCAACGGAGTAAACAGCATTAGTCAAATAGGTCTCCTTAGCACATAGTCAATTACACATAACCTTAGCAGTACATCTTCCTCATGATGTTTCCAAATCACATTCAGTTCTCTTCAATTTAATGATTTGCAATAGAAATGTACATGTCCTAACCCTGAGACTAAGAGTGTCTGCTAACCTAGTAGGTACACATGTGCTTCAGACTTCTTAATCTATCAGTTTAACTTTATTATTATCAAGTAGTTAATCTTGGAAAAAAAATTATTTCTAACTAATTCATGGGCTGATTCTTGCAGCTGCAGAGTCAAGGAGCCTTGCCGGGATTTTTCTACCACCATAGTGTTCAGTCAGTGGTGTTTTGGTCAATGCAATTGTTGGGTTTCTCCTTCTGCCTTAGTAGTTGTCCACTCGATCCAGCCCCAAACCAGCTCTGGTATCATGGATTTCAACATAGGAATGGAAGTTGGCAACTTCCTCCATCAGCTACCCAGCATTTCCAGGCCCATGTTGATATTGTTGGTAGTTGCTGGTGAGTGACTCTAAGTCACTTACAGCATAGCAGGATGAACCTCACAGCACAATAACCTTATAGGATAACAGGGCAGACCTTATAACATAACAATCCTATAGGATCACAGAATAAACCTTACAGAAAGACAAACGTATAGCATAACAGGGTGAAGCTGATATCATAAAATGGCAGTCTTATAGCCCAACAGGATGAAATGTTGCCTGGTTCAGTGCAAGCTCTTGATTGTTCCTGTAGAAAATCAGATTACAGGTTGAACTTTGAAAGATCAAGAAGTTAGAACTTCTTGGCTCTTTTGTTTAGACAAGCTATATTTGTGCACTGTAGGATAAGCCTGGAATGGGTAATCACATGCTTAGCAGTTCAAACCTACCAGCCAATCCTATACAGGGTTGCTATGAGTTGGAACCTACTCAGTGACACTTAACAACAAGAGCAACACTATGACTGGTGAGTGTCCTAGTGAGATGCTGTCTGATCAGCACTGGCCTGCTAACCACAAAGTCGTCGGTTCATGCCCACCAGCCGCTCTCTGGAGTGAACTCAGTGGTACACGGCAGCAGCATGGACACTTGAACTCTCTCACTGCAGAAAAGAAAACCATTGTAAATGTCGCACTATCCACTAGAGCATGTTTCTCTCCCCCTACCCTCCCTCTCTTCTCGTCCTCACCCCTCCTCTTCCTCCCCTTCTCTTTCTGTTATAAACATATTGGTGGGCTACGTGACTTGGTTAGGATGGAGAAGATTCATCTTTAAAGTGAATGGTAGCTTGTTTTAACATTATTTTCTTGAGTGGAGAGTTGTTTATTTTTTAAGCTATGGGGCTGTGTAATTAAAAAAATATTTATTCAGTGGCGTCAATGGATATCCACTCTAGAAAAAACATACAGTAGGTTTTCATTTAATTTTTCCAAGAACTTTTGAAGTCCTCTCTTACAGTACTTGTTAAGTTCTACTGAGTCAGTTCCAACCCATAGTGACCCTGCAGGGAGTTTCCGAGGAGCTACTGGTGAGTTAGAACTGCTGACATTGCAGTTTAAGCCAAACTTGTGATGCACTGCTTTCTCCTACAGCACCATGCGAGGACTCCTTACTATACTAGACATTCTACATGTTGTTTTTGTGATTATTAACTATTGAGCTGGACCTAACTCACAAAGGCATTTTCTGGAAAAATGAATAAATAAGTGATTTCATCAAAATAATCTGATACTGGGAGATGATGCTACACACCTAAGCAGGTCATTCTTAACATACTGTGGCAAGTGCTAATCCACATTCAGCTTTTGTTGCATCTCATGCTATATCCTGCAAATCAAGACTAGGATTTCTAACAGAAGTTTAGTACCACGAAACAGGGGTGTGCTGTGAAACCCATCACAGTGGGCATATGATCTATATCATGGTTGAATGGAGAAAAGAAGGTTTATGTTTTGAGTGTCTATTTCAGCTGCTGAAATGAAGCATATATTAAAGCCTTTTGCTGTTTGTCTTTCTAGACAGCCACCAACTACAGATGTCCCACCTCTACTGACCAAACCTCAGATGATCCAAAAGAAGATATTTATGTCAACTACCCAGCCTTCCCTCGCAGACCAAAGCTTAGAGTCTAGGTTTTTCTTTGATCTGAGAAAATTTACAAGGACCATTATGAACATGAATAATTCCATTCTTTTACTCCATTTCTACCTTAGATACAGGCTGGCTGAATTGATTTCATCTGCTGGGAAAATTGCAGCAGCACCTAGAAAACCCAACTCTAATTAGTTTCTCCATGAGAGGGACCTTACTGGCTCATGTAATGGAACCACTAGGGGCTGATTAGCTTCAGTCGTACATACCACTGCCATCAAGTTGATTACAATGCATAGCGACCCTATCAGAGTTTCTGGGACCATACATCACGGAAGTACGCAGCCTCGTCTTTCACCCACAGAGCTACTGGTGGGCTTGAATCTCCAATCTTGTGGTTAGCAGCCTAACGCCTAAGCCACAACATCACCAAGGGGATGTAGATTCAGGCTAGTCTTATTTACCAGGGGCGTCTAGAATTAAGCATGAGCATAAGCAGGTGTCTAGATCCACTTCTCAGAGTTGACTTTTCTTTCAGCATGCTTTCCTTTTGTGTTTCCAAGATGGGTGCTTGGAATTCTTGGCAGTTCACACGTCCTTGTTTCTGTCTGCTATAAGGTTTGATTCTCTGATGGAGCAAGCACATTGGGTTATTTGTCCAACATTGAACCGACAAGGATACATTGGTTTCAGTCAGTTAAGAGCTTATTGCTAGAACTGGGAGTGGGACCTAACTACACTACAGGGAGAGTCCAGCTATTGCTACAGAGACGATAGAGAGGACTGGACAGTGATGGACAGATGTTGACTGCAGTGACACTGCAGGGCATCTCAGGCTAACCAACTACAGAGGAAATGCGTGGGTCTTCGTTATGACAGTCTCTCCCACTTCTAGAATCTTGTAGGTCAGCATCATCCAGAAGAGTAATTGGCAGTGGAGGAAATGAGTGCTCAAGAGGAAGATCAGCATAGCAGGGAAATCTCTTGATCTCTTTACCTCCAATTCTATCTAGAATTCCTGTCACCATGTTCAGCTCAGGTTTATGAATAACTATAGTAGGTGGTCTGCTAATAACTTCAGACTTTTGACATTGCATTTTTTTTCTTTTCTGAGAATCAATTTTTAATATATAAATTATGATTTAATGAATCCAGCACCAAGGTCTTTTTGAAATAATCGTGATAGCAGGAGATGGAAATACACGGTTAAAAAATTAACTATCACCATCAAGTTCATTCGGACTCACAGCGAACCGCAGGATAGCATAAAATTGCCTCATGGGATTTTCAAGGCTGCGAATCTTTCTGGAAGCAGACTGCCACATCCGCTCTTGCAGAACAGCTGGTGGGTTCAGACCACTACTTTTCTGGTTAGCAGCCAAGCTGTGCTAGGGTAGATCATCAAAAGGTGGGGGGTGATGGAGATAGACACATGCATGTTAATCAGTGGCATTATTCACAATAGTAAAAAGGTGGGCACAGCCTAAATGCTCATCAATGGAAAAATGGATCAACAAACTTTGGTAGATACACACAATGGAATACTATGATATGTTGAATCTGCAAAACTCTTCACAACATGGGCAAACCTGGAGGACATTAAGCTGAGTGAATTAGTCAGTCACCAAAGGACAAATATTGTATGAGACCACTATTGTAAAAGATCAGGAAAATGTTTTCATGCTATAAGAAGCCATCTTTGATGGTTACCAGGGGTGGGAGGGAAGGGAGAATAATTCACTGGCTAGAGGGTAGAGACATGTTAACTTGGGTGATGGCGAGGCCAATAGCCAAGATGAGGGAGGTTGGCAGAAAAATGAAGACAGGTGAAGACACAGGGAGTTTTGCAAGGGTTAAAGGGGGTAGAGGTAAATAATGTTATACACCGAACCCTGGAACAACAATGTTTTGCAGGTAGATACATAGACAGATATACAATCTGAACTAGTAATGGGAGGAAAAGTGGAAATATACACAAATATGTAAGAGTTTGAAAGATGGTATTTATACATGAGTATTTACCTTTGCTGCAAACACAACTATGAATGTGGTTGAACATTCCAGGGGCACAATGATGAAAACGTTTTAGATATTATCAAACATCTTAAGGCAATGAGTTTCTGGGCCTGCTCGCTTAGGACCAAGGTCTCAGGAGACACCATGGTCCATTAGCTTTACATAGTCCACAAAGACAATGTTCTATATCCTATTTTGGTGAGTGTCAACTGGGATCTTAAAAGCTCATGAATAGCCATCTAAGGAGCAACTATTGTTCTCTCCATATGTGAAAGAAAGAAGAGTGATGCCAAATTGAAGTGCTTAGAATCAGCTAGTCCAGTGAATCAATGGACACGTGACCATCAGTCACTAAAACTCTTGAGTTCAAAAGGACTGGATGGTGCCTGATTACCACTATCAATTGCTCTGAAAGGGATCACATTAGAAAGTCCTGCATAGAGTGGGAGAAAATGTGGAACAAAACTCAAAATTATATACAAAAAAACAAACAAACAAACCAGGGTTTACTGGTCAGAAAGAGACTAGAGGTCTTGACCATCACTTTGGCCCTTGACCACCCTTCAGGACTGGAATGGAACTCCCCTTCATGGCCCAATTTCAGCCAAGCACTTGATAGTTATATGGGGAGGACAGCAACACTAGTAAGGTGTGTTCACCATGGAAAGGTCAGTCATTCAAGATCAAAAGGATAACATGTACCTAAACACACAGATGAGAAAGGATGGGAAGGTGGGTGGAATGGAAGTAAGAACCACAGGGAAAAGGGGGGATAACTGTTGTTGCATAGAGGGGCTTGCGTTGAGACAGTGTATGATTTGTTGAATGTAAAACTGATAATCTTCTCTCAAGTCACAACAAAAAGTTTTTTTGTTTTTTTTTTTAAAGGGAGGGGGAAGACCATTGGGAAGATAATAGGAAGCAGGATAAAGAATTAAAGAATTGGAAAATACAAATAGAAACTTCTGCTTCACAAGTTGACCAAAGATAGCCCTAGCGACGTAACTGACCAAACCTGGCATTGTCCAAATTCTAGATGGAGGCAAACAATGAAAAGTATGTGTGGGACTAAAGAAAACTACCATGGTCACTTTGAAATGACAATTGTCATTACCGAATGCAGTGATCATTCAACTCTCAACGATTCAATACTTAGTTTGATAAAAGTTGTATTTAAATATCGTTTCACACTGCTCACAAGAATCTTAAGTGAGACCTAATCAATTTCTTATGTTGACTAGACAGACTCTAGGTTGTAGTGTTTTATTTTAAGCAAGCCAGTGAGTATTTTTTATGATTTTAGCTTTAACTATTATTCATACCAAATAGTGCAGTTATTCTTTGAATTGTAGAAATTGTGAGTAGCCCTGCCTGTTTGAGGAGGGGGAAATGACCAGGTCCCAGACTCCTGCACAGGAAAGTAGAGTGAACAACTCTCATTTTTATTCTATTTGCCCAAAGACCTTTACATCTGAATTCATGGAGTTTTTCTGCATTAGTGAAGCAGTTGAAAGAGCAATTTGCAAGAAAATGTTGTATGTTGTTAATGGTCTCAGATCTCTGAAAGGTTACATTGCTGAGTTTGTCAGTTTGCAAAGGGAAACAACCTGAAAGTATGTCCCCAGGAATGGATTTGGACTCAAAGCAACTCCATTTGACAGACTAGATCTAGCCCAGATGACTGTTCAGGCTGCCATCTTTTTAGGGAAAATCACCAGGTCTTCATCCCACGGAACCACTGATGGGCTCAAACCATCAACTAAGCACTTAATCACTGTACCTCCAGGGTTCAGCATCATCTAAAAATCAAATGGTTTTTTGCCCTTAAATGTTAAAGATAATCCAAATATTACTTTCTCAAAGATTCTGATGGCTAAACTCCCAACGATTAAAATGAACAAACAGGAAGTCATCTCTACCATTGCAATATGGGGAAATGTACATCACATGTTAACAGAGACACTGGCTGATGGCGGGGCCAGATAACGATATGCTGGAGACTTTATTTATGGTTTCCTGGTAGACTTTGGTGATATGCCATTTAATGGCTGAAGGCCTCCAGAATATTTAAAACTTGTCTTTTTCCAACGGTGCTTTAAATTTATTTTAGAACAATCTCTCGATTATTTATGAAGCTGGGAGGGCAAGTCTTCATTCTTATATTTTAGACATGTTATCAGAAGGGACCAGTCCTTGAAGGAGGATATCATACTTGGAAAAGTGGAAGGAAAGTAAAGCAGAGTAAGACACCCCCTTGCCCCCCCCCAAGGAGCTGGACCGAAACAGTGACCGCAGCAATGGGTTTAAACACAGCAACGATTTTGAGATTGGCTCATGACCGGGCAGTGTTTCATCCTGAAGTGCATAGAGACTCTGTGAGTTGGCGATGACTCGACCGCACCTAATGCAATTAGAAATCAATGCAATCAAAGTGCCTCTCTTTGGTTTATGATAATATGCTTTATTTTGTGCTTTTGTGAAATTTAAGCTGAAGATAATGAGTAAAGATGCTTATAAAACATAAAGATGCTAAATTTTGAGTACAAAGTTAACTGCTCTTCACACAGTGAGAAGAAAATGTCTTAAAAATATATAAAACATATAGCATCATTGTTTAATCATTACCATGATTAATTTCATCACTACTAAGATGGGATGTCTAGGAAATACCAACTCTCACATTCAGGTGTTTGCATAGATGAGTATAGTTTTTCACTGAAATTATCCTAATTGATTCTCTAGGCTCTTGCACATTTCTTTGAAAAATAAAAACAAATTAAAAAAAACACACACAAAACTTCTCTATTGCTCTTGAGCCAATAGACAAAACTGTGGCATTTAGGATATACTGCAATCCTTTCTAAAGAAAATGTATACAACTTCAATATTGGTTTACATATCGATTTTCGGGATTCTAAGCACTAACTATGTTGTTAGGCATTGCAGAAAAGATACAATTTAGCATTATAAATAAGAATTGTCTGGGGCTGGTCCTGGTTATGGCTGTGTGATTTGTTCCCCTATT